TCCTTTGATGAGATACATGAATACGAATACATAAGCTTTAAACTTACCAAGTAGTTATGGTTTTAACATTTAGCATAAACATTTAATCAAATTTAATGCAAAAATAATAAATAATGCATTCTTTCTAGGGCAATCAAAGAAGAAGAAATTACGGGAGCAGGAACAAGGGATTCATCTTGGATGCTCAGCATCTGTCCTAGTTTGAGTGCTGCCCCACGCATCCTACATAGAGCCAGGGCCAGCCGTTCTGCATTTTTTTCGGATAAAAAAGGCGAAAGGGCAGACTGCTTGTTTTCTGATTTAGTTGTACCAAAGACGAGTCTCTTAGCAGATTCCTGTACAGTTCCCCAGGCAAGCCCAGCTCCTAGTCCAGCAAACCTTAACAACTTAAGTTAGCAATCAAGGCAGCAGTTTGCTAAAAAAGTAATAAATATTAGCATGCAATGCAATGCATATCAGACTGGACTTGTAAGTTGCATCTTGTTCCCAATCCCCCCGATTCCAAAACATATACAGCATGTCATTAAAAAGGTACAAAACATTAAAAGGAGGCGTACAAATAAGTAGAAAAACTCTTGATCTATATTCAGTGTAATAAAGGTAGAGCGGTTACTTAAAGGCTCAAAAAGAAGGGGAAGTGATTTGTACACAAATTTTTTTTGCCGTGCACAACAATTTATGCATTATAGAGTTGTACAATACAATACTTTAAAGCACAAATTGTTGTAAACCATTTGTTGTAAAACCAGAAGTTCATTAAAAAAAACTGACAGGTTATATAGTAGAGCATTCCATGGATATGAGAGGAAATACTAAGCAATAGAACAGCGCAATCCAAATTGTGCTAATGTCTATGTTCGCTGTGATGATATTGGAAAAAAATAGCTAGTGCCTAGTAGCAAGAGATAAAGTAACTCACCCAAGCGCTCTCGAGAACGGGGTGGAAGGAACCCTCCTCTCCTTGCGCCGCCTCTGTTTATTTATTAGTGATGGTGCTTTAGGCGGCGGGGAATTGGTCAAAGGAACAGCCTTTCCTTCTCCAACTCCAATTGCAGCAGCATTGTTATCCAAAGTAGCCGGAGGAGGAGTAATGATCATAGTCTGAAGGGACCCCGATTCGACATCACCTTCCCACTTTGCATTTTTTGGATGGTTTATACGAGCATCCGCGTGGACATTTCCATTGTCATATATAAGGGTAGGGGTAGGGGTAGGAGAAGGGAAATGTCTCTGCGCTTCTTTGGGGGTGTTTGGGTCAGAAGTAGTAGGCGACAGTGCATTATCGGACGAAGAAGCTACCTCCTCCCCAAAATAGACAACGCTGCTGTCTTGTTTGATACCGTCCGTATCACCAATGGGTTTGTTACCGGTGATCACGAAATTGCGAACCTCGCCTTTAGTGAGACCGGATATGTCGGTGGCTGATAAGATGGCTCGCCGGATTAGGGATTGCAAGTCTGGCTTATCGATACCCCGTCTCATGGCCTCCTTGGCGACCAGGGAAAATCCATTCACGAGCTTGCCGAGGTCTTTCAACGATGCCATATCCAGACAACGATTTCAACAACGCGGAGGCGTCGTATCGATCAATTAGTGTTTATTCAAAGGCAAAGACGGTCGTATAGGGATTTCTACTGTAGAAACCTATGATAAAAAGGGGCAACCCAACGGTGGCTAGTGTTTTTCAGCGAAAGGTTTTACGATTTATTAATTATATTTTAAATTAAATTTATTTATGTGTTAATATTTTTATACATATTAGTAGTTGTGGCATCATATATATATATATATATATATATATATATATATATATATATATATATATATATATAGTTCATTTGAGATCACCTATATTTTGTGAGACCGTGAGATGCATTTTTTTATTTTATTTTTATTTTTTTTAGTTAATTCAAGTTCCGAAAATAATATTTAAAAAAAGAATTTTTAGATTTTTCCATTTATTTTGCATTTTAAAACTATTTTTTAGAATATGTACAGTGTAATATTCTATTAAAATATTTCATGTATTTAAAAAAAAAAAAAAAACGGGATTTTTTTTATTTTTTTTAGTTAATTCAAGTTCTGAAAATAATATTTATAAAAAGAATTTTTAGATTTTTCCATTTATTTTGCATTTTAAAATTATTTTTTTAGAATATGTACAGTGTAATATTCTATTAGAATATTTCACGTATTTTTCAAAAACACTGGGATTTTTGTTGAATTTTTTTTATTATTATTATTTTTTTTAGTTAATTCAAGTTCCGAAAATAATATTTAAAAAAAAAGAATTTTTAGATTTTTCCATTTATTTTGCATTTTAAAATTATTTTTTAGAATATGTCAATGTAATATTCTATTAGAATATTTCACGTATTTTTCAAAAAAAATAGGATTTTTTTAATTTTTTTTTATGTTTTTTTAGTTAATTCAAGTTCCGAAAATAATATTAAATTTTTTTTCCATTTATTTTGCATTTTAAAATTACTTTTAGATTTGGTCTCACGGTCTCACAAAATTAGAATGGTCTCAAATGAACCTGGAACTATATATATATATATATATATATATATATATATATATATATATATATATATATATATATATATATATATATATATATATATATATATATATATATATATATGGAAAAGTGAATACACCCTTAAGGGTATATAAGCTTAGGTACCCAAACTCACAATATTACATCGTTTTGTATGATACATACACATTGTAATTGTCCAATGTTCTTCTAATTCAACTTTTAACTTGATTTAATTCTAAGATTTTTACAAATTTTACATTTATCTTCCTTTTATATAATTTTTATTTTTAACTATAATATATATAGCCTAGTAGGTGTTCTGCATAAATATGTGATGTAAGAGAAAAATAATAGTGAAATTTCGAAAATCCTAGAAGTACATCAAGTTAGGGGTTGAAGTTTAAGAACATTATAATGATTATATCAAACAAAATGACGTATTATGGTGAGTTTGGGTACCTAACCTTATATACCTTAAGGGTATATTCACTTTTATATATATATATATATATATATATATATATATATATATATATATATATATATATATATGATGGTTCAATTGAGAAAAAAAAAGTTGAGAATGAGGGAATCATTCTCAGCCACTCATTTATTTTTGCCGCAAAAGATTCCGTTATACCAGCAGAAATGGGAAAGGAATAGACATGTGTTTTCCAACAAAACATGTTTCCTTAAACTATGCTAATCATTACCTTAATATATATACAAAAACATAATTTTTTTCGTTTTTTTTTAATCTTTAAGAAACTATTTTTATCGAAAAATGATTTTAAATATACCAAAATTCATGATTTTTTATTCTCTACAAATAGACATCCATATTGATATAGTTTTAAGATAAAATAAAAAATTTATTTTTCTTATATTTTCAGCTATCGTTATTCATAATTGAATAAAAATGAATCAGGTTTTTACTACAGTACATTCGTTATTCAGTTATGAATAAAAACTATGATTAATTTTTTTTTTTACAATTTAAGTATCATTCATATATGAATATAGCATATAATAAACATAGTATATTCATATTTAAATATTAGACGATGCATTCATTATGAATATTACATAGTAATTCACTTGTGAATATTAGATGGTATATTCATTTATGAATATTAGATAACTAGGTGTAAGACCCGTATGTTATACGGGTTTGATAAAACAATAAACTTAAATATGAAAGTTTAAATAAAATTGTATTTAAATTTGAAATTTTAGATTTGAAATTTAAAATTTAATATTTGAATTTAAAATGAAACATATTAATACTATATCAATACTAATATTGTAATTTATTGGTTATTTTCAATTAAGACAATTATTATTTGAGGTGTAAATATGATGTGTTAATTAAAAAAAATTATAAAAAAATGAGAAAATGATAAAGGGAAAAAACAATTATTCAAAAATACCAAAAAATGACATGTGTCCAAGTTAATGAAAGAATGACATGTGTCAAAATTATTTTTATTTATTAGGAATGATATTTTCATATCTGAATATTACATAGTATTACATTGTATATCACATGTGAATATTACATAGTATATTAATTTGTGAATATTAGATGATATATTCACTTATGAATATTACACAGTATATTCACATATGAATATTACAAGGTATTTTCACAAATATATATAATTTTTATATGTTATTTACATATGAATAACATACAGACTAGCATATTTGTTTTTATTGTTTTAATAATCATATACTGAGAAAACATATTCATATATGAATATAACGTGGTAATTTAGTTTATGCATTTCATCAAACATTTGGAGTGCATACAATTTAACTTTTTTTTTTTTAAATGTTAAAAACATGATATTTTGACTATTTAAATCTTACAAAAGAGTCGATTGATAGAGAATTATATGAAATTTTTCAAAAAAAAAAATGATTTGATCTTTTTCTAACCTCAATTTTGAAGTTTTATTTGATAATCGATGTTGAATGAATGATATGAAGCGGATTTTTGGTTGATTATCGATGATGTTGATCTAATAACGTTGGGAGTATAATTAATCATAGATGTTGAAGATCTAATCGTACTCAAGCACAATTGAAGGTTGAATTAAAAGAACCAAAAACAAATTTTTGTTGTTAACTATTGAATCATGTTGATTATTGACGAAGATCGATGATTGATTAGCATTGGATGATGTTGATGATGGTTTAATTGAAGAAATCTAGATGATTGTTGACAGTTGGAGAAGTACTTTGGATGATGAATGATGAATGGGTTTGAACTGTAATCTAATTCTCTACAGATACGTATTTGAGATTGAAGGTTGTTATCATATTTACAAGTTTGCCACCGTGTCTTTTTATGCTTAGATAAAATGAGTGACTGAGAATGATTCCGACATTCTCAATTTTTATTTTCTCAATTGAACTCACCTCTCTCTCTCTCTCTCTCTCTCTCTATATATATATATATATATATATATATATATATATATATATATATATATATATATATATATAAAGCTTTGAATTTATAAAAAATAAAAAATAATGAATTATTATAATGAACATGTTTTTTATCTTTTAAATTTAAATAAATAAATAAAAGAAACTAATGAATTTTAATTTTGAAAATTTTGAAATTAAAAGGTAAGTTAATTAATGAAATTGATATATATATTTATTAATATATTTATTGCAATTATTATATTAAATATTATGTGAAATTAAAAAAATAGAAAAACTTATAAAATTACATGTGGAAAAAAAAGTTTAAGTCAAAATAACCATAAAATGATATTTGGCAAATTGAATGAGAGTGTGACAATTGGCAAAAAAAAAAAAAAAAAAAAAAAAAAAAAAAAAAAAAAAAAAAACTACATTTATTAGAATATATTACATTATTAGATAACAAATCTCCATTTGAAATGGGAGGGGGTTGTGAGTTGTAACTCATAAACAAAATATTAAGGTGGTGTTCACTATATAACCTTGTTGGCATCCACATCAACATGTAAACAAAAATATTGAGATGGTGTTCACTATAGAAGTCTGATGGCATCCATACCAGCATAAACATCTATTTTGTCTCACATTGAAGTCTATAGAAGTTTGATGACATCCATACCAGCAGAAACATCTATTTTTGTCTTACATCGAAGTCTACCTGGTATCTTTGGAATTGCTATCAAGAGACATCATTTAGAAGTTACATACTAGGAGACTCTCCTACCTCCTATTGGTATTTGCTTCGGATAATAGTTTTCTTCTTCTCTTGCTACGTTCCCTCCAATATATCCATCATATTCCCCATTTACTAATGTTTTAAAAATTGGTCTTTTAGTGGAACCGGATCAGACGTTGCCTTAACCTTATTTTTTTATTTTTCTATATATATGTTAAAGATCAAATGAGAACCCCTAAAAGTTAAGAACTTTAAGTGTAACACCCGTTTTTTCAGACTGGATCGATTTAGAGTTTTTATGAGTCAACATCTTGACTTTTGGAGAGAATCGAGTGTCACGATGTGACCATAAGGTGATCACGACGTGACAAGCAAAACACAAGAGGTGCGTTTTGGAACCATCCTCACGACGTGAGACATAAGGTGTCACAATGTGAGACCTGCTGCAACCCAGTCCCATGCTCTTTTAGGGTTTTCTTTGTATTTAAGCCGCTGTAAGTTGATTTTAGGGTTTATTATTAGCCTCCAACACCCTTTTACCTTAGAAAAAACCTAACCTAAACTATTTTGATGATTTTTGGCCTTTTGGAGCATTTATTGGCTTGAGGAAGAAGAGAAGAAGGGGGAGAAAGTGTTCTATTAGTGGAGCTCGCAAGGAAACATCATCATCATCATCTTATATTCTTGATGGTCATTGTAAGTGGCAAAGGCTGAAACTTTATTACTTAAAGTAGTTAGATCTAAGTTGTTGTCCCATGTCATTCATGTTTAAGCAAGTTTGAATGGAATGAATACATAAAGTTGGAAACTTTATGCATTCTAAGG